AAGCACTCCCTCTTGTCCCACTCCCCCCTGTTGGCATCTGTTCCCCAATATCACCCTCTTTTAGGTTCTTTTTTTTCTTTATCTCTGTGTTTTATTCCCATTATCCTGGCTCCTGGTGCTACATCAGGATATGTACTCACATATAAGGGATTGGTGCTGTGATCTGAAAATGAGGCAAAAGAGGGAGAACATATGTCACTTGGATATTTTAGCTCATCTCAGAGACTTAGCACAGGCCAAGGATCCGCAAGGTTTCGACGAAAGACAAGAGCAACACAGGGATGCTTGGGGAGAACATGTTATTCTGGCACAAAGTCCAACTTCAGTGCATGATGCTGTGTGTAATCAGAAACTTTTAATATGTCCTGTCTTCGTATGTTATATTCTACATTTCCATTATGGACAATGTGCATTTCCTACTGAAATGCTCCCAGATATTTGTTCATGCTTACTTTATACGTTTTCCATATTTTCAAATATTAACTTTCTTTTCCCATATTTGCAAATATTAACTTTCTCTTCGCCACTGCCTGTGGTCCTAACTTCATCATCAATCATTTATTTATCATCTATATCTATCTATCATCCATCTATCTATCTTCTATCTATCCATCTATCTATATCTGTCTTCTATCATCTATCATCCTATCTATCATCTATCTAGCTATCATCTATTATCTATTATCTATCATCAATCATCTATTATCATCTATCATCAATCATCTATTATTTATCGTCTATCTATCTATCTATCTATATCTATCTATCATCCATCTATCTATCTTCTATCTATCCATCGCTCCTAGGAGAACACAGATTCCTATGGCCAGTGGAGACCAAGTAACTTGGATGAAGAACATTTTAGGAATGAGTGTGGAAGCTCTACATTTGCCTACTGCAGGCAAAATAGGGTCCATTAGCTGTTCCCACATGTGTGCAGTGATATGCTCAGAAGAGAAGACCAGGATGGATGGAATGAGAACAGGGTGCATATACACATGGTTCTTTGAAAATAGTATCCTGTTGAACAGCTATCCACAGATAATGACAGGAGTCTCAAATAGACTTGCTCCCTTGAAGCAGGAATAACTCACAGTCATTTTCTTTATATTTCATGACGGGCTTTAGCCCTACATATTCCCTTTGTGCTGTACCTGCTTAAAGACCTTTACTGCCCATCTTCATGTTTAACCTTTTCTTTTTTCTTTTTATTATCAGTAATTCTCAGCTGTTCCATAATGTTTTCTAAATCCTCAGAATCATATTCTTCCTCCTCTACTTCTGAAGAAGCACAACATGCACTGAGTTGAGACGCTTCCTCTTTTGCTTCTTCTAAACCTTGAGCCCTTGAGCTATATCTGCCTCATACTTCCCAGTTTCTTCTGCTAAACAGGTCCGCACCAAAGTCCAA